AAACAGGATGTCGTTTCCTCATAACCCAAAACACAAAGAAAATTTTTAATTACATGTGGCTTCCCCCGCGCCCCCCCCTCCCACCCCGGTGTTTTAGATTGACACACATGCGGGGCCGGGTACAGGGCCCGGGGGGGGGGGGGGGGGGGGGGGGGGGGCGTTCTCCAAAACAATTTTTTTGTCTAAAAATAAGGGGGGGCGGGCCCTCAGGCCCCTCCTCTCGATCCGCCACTGAATTGTCTATCGTCCTCTACTGTAATTTCAAAGTTTCAGCTGAGAGTTTTCTGCGAACCGCTCTCCGGTGGTACGTCACTCCATAGCTGCCAATATAAACCTCTGCTCAATAATCGTTTTACTCCTCCTTTCTCGTTGTCTTAGGTCGCATTTCATATTAACGACGAGTGCCCACTGACAATCATCCCCTGTCCGTACGCTAAGATGGGCTGTAATACAGAGGTAAGTTATCTGAAATGTAGGTACGGTTAAAGGGATTAAGTCAGTATCAATTGAAATAAAGAACCCAGATGAAAATAAGATATATGTTTTAAAGGTGCCCAGCACTGGTTAGGACAAACCGTATGTAACTTATGTATTAACCTGTACAACCAAAGTGGAAAACATTAAAACTAATTTAATTCTGATTACGGGGAAGAATGAGATATTTTTAAAAGATCTAACCTTTCTTTAGGAATAGGTCTCTTTTAAAGGACATTAGGTTTCCTCTGTTGTTAAATAGTTAGATGGTTATGCCGACCGCATTAGCCTGCTTTATTCTAAAACTTTATTGGTTGTTATTGAACGCCGTTTATGAATGTTAATAATCACTGCGGATCGCTATGGTATGCTAAAAAAAAAAAAGCCTGATTTACCAAAATAATGAACTTATTTCTGTGGCACAGATTCAACGAAAGGAAGTCGAAGACCATCTCCATACGACAGTGACATTCCATCTGGGGTTAGCATTGAAAAATGTTCAAGACACAACAGAGAAACTTGACTTACTTCAGCAGCAGGTACAAGACCTGGCAGCTGCTAATACTACACTCAGTAGGAAGGTTGATGAGCAAAACAAAACGATCTTGAGGTTAAAAAGTGATTCCTTGGACTTTGTATGGAAGGTGACAGGATTTAGAGAGATCTTGAATGAATCAAAACATGAAAATAATAAAATGTTAAAAAGTGTACCATTTTACACGGCAAAACAAGGCTACAAACTACGACTTTGTATTAAGCCAAATGGTGATCAGACAAAAAGAAACAAGTATCTTTCCGTGTATGTTCTTCTCATGAAAGGCAATTACGACGGTATGTTGCCCTGGCCTTTTCGTAAAAAGGTCACTTTGACGTTAATCGATCAAGTAAGTCCACCGGTTTTGAGGTGGAATGTGGAAAGTTCTTTACACGTGGCTTTTTTGACTGGGAAGCCCAAAACAGAGGAAGTCGATGAATCGCAGGGCATATTAAGATTTATTTCTCACACACAGTTAAATTCACGTTGCTACCTCATGGATGATACCTTGTTTCTCCAGGTGAAAATTGATCCTACCGATATTTAGTGCTGTGTGTTCTTAGAACTATGAACTACCAGAAAACCTGTTTCTTTTACTGTACTCAGTGACTGTGCTTCTGACAGTCAAAATCCTTTCAAAAAGTGCAATAAAGAATACTGTAAATCCTCTATTAAGCCCCCCCTTTTCAGGGGAAGAAAGTTAACAAGGCCCTCTCTCTTTTCAAAAAAAGCTGTGACCAAGTTGTCAAAATAATAATAATAAAAAATTCATTTTGACAGGTCATTTATGTACACACCAATATTATACGGCTTCAGACCGTTAGGAAAAAAGTTTATCTCGATATAATTTCTGGAATTCGAAACGAGGCTACAATGACATTTGTAAAAAATGTTTTTTTTGTTCTATTTTTGACAGTAATTCAATGCCACTTTTTACCGTGCGACTACTGTAACAGAGGCGACTTAGACAAAGTTGACCAATTAGATTCAAATTTAAGTTTCGTCTGTGGCGCAGGCTTCTAAAGCCGACCCTCTACTGACGGTTACTTTTTTGCAATGGCCAATTTTAACTCCAGTGTCCTGACAGATAACTCCTGTCTTAGGGGCTAAAGGATCCTCCACGGAAAAAACGGAAAAACGGAAAAACGTAGTTGGTTTTAATAGATTAGCAAAACAACAACTTGCCTTATGTACCACAATATTATGAACCTTTCTTTGCGGTCGTTGCCTGACTAACGGCCTCGAATTATATGAGCCAGGCCTAACAGTGCGGTTAAGAGAGGCGCAAACGGAAGGAACCGAAGAGATTAAAGAGTAAGCCAGAAAATGCGTTTTACATGCAACTGACGTAGTGATCTCGTCAGTGTGGTGGCACAAAAATATTTGCGTGTGATACATCCTCACCCATGATCGATCGCGATCAATATCAGCAACTAGCGGTTAAATCTTTTGGCCATTCGTCTTTATGCTTTAGTATTGTTTTAAACACAATCAGGCTCAGCTTGGATAAAATGCTTTTTGTAAGAAAGCTTTATGCCCACTGACCAATAATTTCTAGGTAGATTTTCTCTCCAATTTTAAATTCTAACTCGCCCTTCCCAAACAATCGCTTTAATTTTCCTTTGAAAATTTTAAGTCATTTACTTCAGCTTCGGATGACGTGTCGCATCTGAAAATCATTATATTTGAGTAAGCCCAAAAGGCAATATAACGTCACAATTATACACTCATTAATATGCCGTGAATGACGATTAACTAGAAGGGTAAAAACATGATTATGTAAAAGCAAATTATGCAACTAATACCTCGTCTTGTATGATTATAGTGATGTTTTTGGGAGGTTAGCTTGTATCAGGGATGTTAAATAATATTAAATAATGTTTAATATATTGTAAAGGAAAAAATTCAGTTTTGTTTAACCTACAAGTCACGTGCAGTCAGTCATGTATTTTCACAAGCTCCATCAAGTATAGGCGTAATTATTCGATTGCGGACATTTTATTGTAGCCTTAACTACCCATACTTTAATATTCTACTGCATGAGCGTCTAGGCATGGACCGTTCCCCTCAAACCTCAGAAGATTAATTACACTTCAAAAACGGGCTGTAAGAATTCAAAGAATAATGTCGAGGAGTGCTTTGGATGCTCACACTTACTCTTTATTTCAGCAAAAAAATTAGTAATCTTAATCTTGAAAGTATCTACAAACTTCAAATGGGAAAATTTATATGTATCCGTACAAATCGGGCTTACTTCCTGATAGCTTCAATACTGATGTTTTCAGTGACACGCCAGGTGCTCTCTTACATATGGCACTAGAAGACATGAGCTCTTTTATTTACCCCATTGCAGGACCAATATAAGAAAGTTCTCTATAAGTTTCCAAGGTAATAAATTCCTTAACTCTCTTAGTTTTGAAATTCAAAATAATGCAACAAGTATCGCCTCCTTTTGCTCTGAGCTGAAAGCATTCCTCTTATCGTAAATATTCATTTAATTTTTCTCTTTACCTCTGCTTTTCATTTTCTTTTTTTTCCTCACTTTTTTCCTTTCGCTTTGTTAGCCTAACTATGATTAATACGTTTATCTAAGATATGAGGAAGTAATATTTACTGTAGCTCTGCCATAGTGCAAGTATGTTTCTGTTCATATTTTGTTGTAATAACGAATTACCTGAGGGAGGCCATCATTATAAGCCCGGTGGTTTCCCTTGGGCTTTCTCCCAATTAGCTTTTAAAATTGAACTTCCTGCTTTGTAGTCTTTATGNATAGCTTCAATACTGATGTTTTCAGTGACACGCCAGGTGCTCTCTTACATATGGCACTAGAAGACAGGAGCTCTTTTATTTACCCCATTGCAGGACCAATATAAGAAAGTTCTCTATAAGTTTCCAAGGTAATAAATTCCTTAACTCTCTTAGTTTTGAAATTCAAAATAATGCAACAAGTATCGCCTCCTTTTGCTCTGAGCTGAAAGCATTCCTCTTATCGTAAATATTCATTTAATTTTTCTCTTTACCTCTGCTTTTCATTTTCTTTTTTTTCCTCACTTTTTTCCTTTCGCTTTGTTAGCCTAACTATGATTAATACGTTTATCTAAGATATGAGGAAGTAATATTTACTGTAGCTCTGCCATAGTGCAAGTATGTTTCTGTTCATATTTTGTTGTAATAACGAATTACCTGAGGGAGGCCATCATTATAAGCCCGGTGGTTTCCCTTGGGCTTTCTCCCAATTAGCTTTTAAAATTGAACTTCCTGCTTTGTAGTCTTTATGATAAAACAATAAACTGTGCTGATTCAGAACTAGTAGGCCACAACGCATTATTCTGTTAAGTTAACTGACCCGTTTTAAAATAAATCGCTTAGTCTTTATACAACAATGAAAGTCTTCTTTGTGAATTTAGCTGTTAAAATGTAATCAAACGTCTACAGATACACATATGCACGTAGTCTTAAAAGAAAACCACCTTTCCATCATTATGATATTTATCTTTATGAGTTTCAACTACGGCAATGTGACCTTCCATTGTCACCGTAACCCCTCCAAGCCAATGAACCATTTCTTCGTCCAGCTGAATTCTTCGCACAAACTCTCCTTCTTTACTATATATCGACACCTTTAGACAGTTTGCCTCCCGATCACGACCAGCGAGGACGAAATGTGAGCCTGCCGGGTGACATGCAATACGACTGTAATAATCTTCTTTAATACTGATGTTAAACTTGTGGAGCTGTTGTCCCTCTTCGGTGAACAAGTAAACACTAGAATCTTCTCTATCCTTTATTAGAACGCATCAATCCTTGGCAGATGTGATATCTGTTGCATATGTGAACAATCCTTCTCCAAAGCTAAGAACAAACCCACCAGTCTCTTCGTACACATTTACCACATACCTCCTTAATACCAGTACTTTGCCACCGCTAAATGTCATTCTGCTGCTCCAGCCTCCTTTCCTCACGGGAAACTTGTGTTGCAGGTCAGCAGACTTGCTAAAAACTTGCACTTCCCACTTCCAATCCCAATCCTTAGCCCCGGGCTTGTTCACACTGATCAACAGATATATCTTGTCTTCCAAGTTGTCAGTGGCAACATCATGAATATCTAGACTTGGGTAGGCGTCATCACTTTGGGGAGTGAAATTGAGACAAAGGTTCCCTTTCTTATCGAATTCCTTCACGGTTTTATCACCGTTGTCGACTAATAGGATCGCTCCGTAGATGTTTGTAGCAATATTTCTCGGATCCTTCAACTCGTGTTTCACTTCACCCGCTCCACCGATTGACCATGGTGTAATAGAGCAGTGTGCCATGTCAATTTTATGGAGGACTCTTCTGACTCTTTCGTCGCGCAGAGGGTCAATTTTATCTTCTCCTGTGTCTATAAAGGGCCAGACCCAGACTTTACCCACAGCTTGTGTCGCAGTGTAGGTGGTGCGATTTATCTGGCAAACGGTGGAAATTATCTGCCTTCGTTCGTCTTTACCAAACCGCCCTTTGATATTCCTGAGACGTTTCTCAAGCTCAACTTTAAAACTTTCCTGAACGGCTGGGAGGGAGTGGAGTTTCTGAAGGCACTGTTCGCACTCTGGTAATGCGTTCTCTAACGCATTATTTATAGACAGAGACGACAAGTCGTCTGTGACTGCCACCTTCTCTACAACTGACTCTAGCGCTGCTGCCATGACACGATATCTAATGGCTGTTATGCGGTCAAACGTCTTGAGAGCTTCATTGTTGGAGGCATCTATCGCTTTTTCCCGAGACGTTTCGAATCTCCTTCTGGCTTGATAAAAAGCAGATTTTGTTGTGTCATCGATTTTAGTCAGTTCAATATTTCCCGATTCCACGGCCACGGAAACTGTCTTCACAACTTCCATGGATGAAGGCAAGCAAAATTCATCATCATTCCCTCGCTTGATTGTAGTTGTTACCTGTGCAAGTTCAGCACTAGACCTCCCACTGGAAATTGCATCTAATGCTTGACAAAGAAACCTAATTCCTGTTTCAAAGGAGTCAACAGCTGTTAAGAGATCGTTTCTTGTTATCCCGTCCAACTTTGTCTTGATATCTTTCACTTCACGCACGACCAAATCATGGATTTTTTGATCCGTCACGTCTCCCTCCTTCAGCTTTTCTGCCGTCACATCTCTTCCTATAGCCACAAGCCAACCGATGGTGGCATTCAACACAGATGTTACGATCGAGGACATAACTGAATTTCAAAGAATAAGTAGGGTGCTCTGTGAAGTCTTAAACTAGCTAAAACCAGTACACTTCCGCGTTTCAAGGAAGAACGGTAGTACAGTGCGCAAATGACGCCAAAGTGACTGATTTGCAATATTTGTCAGACTTTTGTCATTTTTTGTCATTTGAATGACAAAAGCCAGACAAGCATGGGTGGAACCATTTAGAAGCTACGCGTATAGCTGTCGCATTTGCGCATGCCTGCTGGAAGTTTGATTGTTTTTAAGCCTAAAAACAATAAAAAATTCTAGTGGGTCAATGCGACAGCTATACGCGTATCTTGCAAATAAATCCACCCATAATATTTTAATGACATAAAACAAACAAAAGTGTAGAATGCTAATTTCAATTTTTTTTCTTAGGGTTGTTTATTTTGCAACATAAGCGTATAGCTGTCGCATTTGTCGGAATTTTTTTTTGTTTTTGGCTACAATAAAAAATTCCAACAGGCAAATATACGCGTATGTTGCAAATGTATCCATCCTTAGTCTCAGTTCTATAAATAGTAACTGTGCGCTACTCTATTATACATGTAAAAACGTCTAGACCAGTTGTTCGTACTAGCCCCCGTTCACGGAGTAAAAGTGGATAATGAGGTTATCAGACAGAGGATATAAACAGGTTCAGAGTGAAAGACTTTGGTGGCCCAATTAAAACCAGCGTTTGTCTCATTCGTTTGAAAAAGAAAAGAAGAAAACTGATCCTTTAAATTGAAATTCAGTTTTTCAGGCTTCTGGTATATGAAAAGGCTAGGGATTTTACAGTCGAAGTATATGAAAGGGCAGCGAAATATGTGAAAGGACGTCGACGACCTGAAGGTGCCAATGGGTGCATTTTGTTGCTGTGAAAAAGACAAGAAAACTTCTGGTTTAGTTTCTTATTCATACAATGTATTTGAAACGCGGTGCATGAGCAGCAGGTAAAAGGGATGCAAAGTTCTTATCAAGGTATCTCAAAGGGGTAACATTTGTCAATACTAAGCATGAAGGGGTACTTTTTCTGGCACAAATGGTAAAAGGCAAAAGGCAGGACCTCGGGCCGCAGCCTCCCCCTAAAAAACTTTGTTGACTACCCCCTCCCTTGCGGAGACAAACTGTATTCGCACACAGCCATGAACTGTTTAAGGCCTCGCTCACAAGAATGCGGACATTTTTGAAACCCCATTTTTTGTTACTCGCTTTCGTGTGGACGGGTCCCTAAACCACGTCAGAAAGGTGCGCTTTTGGTGATCAAGGTCACTTCGTGTAAAAATAAAAAAAAAAGTGATAAAATGCGGTTTCAAAAATGATCGGATTCTTGTCAGATGAGGCCTGAGGACCTGTTTTGCTCTTTTTGACCATCATTCGCTGACCTAGTCTCCCTCGCAGCCGTTTTTGTTTTGTCACGCAATGTTCCTCCCCAGCGTTGAGTGACATTTTGGAAAACGAGAAGACCCTGGGGACGAGGTTGAGCATCAGGTGCTCGCATCATTGGTCGCATCTCATCCAAAACGTAGAAAAAGTGAATTGCCGGAAGTGATCACTAATCTCTGAGAAAGGCGCCTAAGGTTATTCTGTCTGATGGTCGGCATTATTGTGGTCATTCAAAGAAAATTGTGTTTGCTTTTAACACAAAGATAAGAAGTACTTTTGCAAATGCCAGGAAACGGAAAAAAATCCCCGGCGAAATTATTGGTGGGCGTGGGGCTATAGCCTACACAACCCCATGCCTCCGCGGTCCCAGTGAGACCCAGTCATAATTCCGAGTTATTTCCGATTTGCCCTGAGCCTCTGTTTCAAAACGAGGCTAAGCGTGAAGCTATAATACGAAAATGTTTTATAATAGGCCACTTGCACTAAGAGGTCACGTGACCAATGCTTCCTTTAAACAATGAGTTGGAATCTTGCTGATGCCAAAAATTGACAGAGCACATAAAAATCATCTTACACCCGAAAGTTAAGAAGAAACGCATTTAAGGGAGATATTTTGTGGTACTTTGATTTTTCAACAAAGTAGTATCATTTGTATCGGCCGCCATGTTGGAGGGCATACTAAAGAGAACGTGCGTTTCCCAGAGAAAGCCTGGAGCGAAGACGCCGCCACCTTGGCAGGAAAAACAATTAAGATTGAGCAGGTTTCGTTGAGTGCTCGCCTGACGAGAGAGGATAAAGTAATGCTTTCGTCTTTTAGAAAAACTGTTGAAGTCTTGCTTGATTGATACCTTAACGATCTTTAATTGGAAGAAAAATTTGTGCCGCCGGTTATGACTCCAGTTTGCCTAAAAAACCCCCGAATATCTTCGAGGGAAACTTGAGGGTTTGATCGGATTTCAGGTTATCAGCTATTTGTTGCCAGGCTTTCCCCCTTTCCGTTGTTCTTGCTTTAAAACGATATGGTTTTGTTATGAGAACTTCCCGTACTAAGGCGAGATTTTGATCTTCAGACCACTCCATCGCTGAACTGAAATTAAACAAAATAAAATTATAAAAGTTAGCAAATGAAAAATGGCGTATTGTTCAAGATAACAATTTTCTCCGACATATGCAAGTTTATTAAAAGCCTAGAGTTTTGTTTCCTCAAGTTTTTATTCTTCTCGTCTCTTAAATTTTTCTAATACCATCCTAAAGCGAGTACCTTGTCCCCTTAAAAATAAGCAGTTATAGTGTTACATTTGTGTCGAAAGACTCTGCGCTTTCATTCTCAGTTGCCTCCAAAACACTGAACCCAAAAGGCTTGATAGCAAAAAAATAAGGCTCAATCTTGAGAGAACACCACACTAAAAACACTTAAATGAGTATCTTGAAGTAACATGGATCGAAAATCCTGTACGAAAAGCAATTTCTGCACTGAAAACAAGAAAACCAACTTACCGTTTCACGCAACCTGAGATCAGGCGTTATTATTATTATTTCTTTGCTTCTTTGTTTCTTTGGCTCGAGATGGAAAAAAAATAACGCCTGATACATTCATTTAACAAGCCGTTAACCGCCCCCTAATTTACATAATCTAACGTCTGCTTGACCTGTCATGTTATTAGCCCATAAGCGTTTACCAGACGGAAATCAAATTTTGGCGCGAATAACTATATGATGTCTCGTTTGAAATCAAATTTTGGGGACAAGAAAATTTTTAAGTGCGTCCATATTCAAATGGCGCTTCCTAAAAAAAAAATTTAAATGCGTTGTTTTTGTGATGAAATACTGGTAGCTGGAGCTGCCGTACCTTTATTTAACAGCTAAAAATAACAGAAATAATAAAGAATTTACTGGTTAAAGCTCGTTGACTTCGTTCTTTGCCGAAAGCAGTGAAAAAAAAAATTAGGCTGAAGCACCATATTTTACGAACTGAAAGGTGTTGTGAAAGCGAAGATCGCTCAGAATAATTCGCAGGTTTCTGAAGGAGGAATTACAGTCAAACCAGGTCAAGATTCCATTCATGAATTGCTTATTTGAATAGCAAACCTGTTTGTCGCTTCTGTAACTTGTAACCGGTATCAAATTGCATTCAAATGATCGGTGAATTTTTGACTGCAACTTTTTAGTATGGGTGGTTTTCACGTTACGTCATCGCCGCCATGCTGGTGGACGGTATACAAAAGATCGCTCATTAGCTCGCTTTGTTTGTCCACCAGCATTTGTTCATTTCACCATTGTTATTAGTGTCTCCCGAGATTGCATGAAAACCACCTTAACGATGAGATGGAAAATATTTTAATGGATGAAATTTCTATTTGGGCATTCTTCAAATTTGAGAAAACTGAGAAATTTTATAACGAACTCGCGTGTGTATTCACTGCTCATTACGCAAGCAAAACTGCAGACTGAAATCAACAACAACTAACGGATGGCGGCATTTTGGCCAATTGGAACAGCGCAAATCATCCGTATTGTTTCCCATCCAATCAGAAAAAAGTCCAGATTCTGGATTTTTACATGTGATCCGACAAACAAATGTATCATGCCCTCTTCCCGTGAGAGACATAAAGGGATAATAGGGAGAGGGCATGATCTCAGGCTACGTTTCACGAGGGGGCCAAACTTCTAGTTTTCACCGTCGCGACTCCAGGTCGATGCTATGGCATTATGCTAATTATTCCAAGAATTGAACATTTCATTTCCGGTTGACGTCCTTCTCGGTCGCGTCCTTGGTCGCGTCTTCAGGGCGGAAAAACGTTCTGCGCAAGCTTCTGCGCATCCCTTATCGCAGGCTCAAGGCGGGAATTTTCTGTGTGTTGACTGTGCTTGTTTGTTGCTGGAGTTCTGAGTGAAATGCACGAGGTGCGAACGTTTGCTCCCTGTAAAGCATTTTTATTTGACATGTTTGCTTTTTTTTCGTCGCTTGAAAATTACTTTGGATTCAGAACAACCAATGTTAAAGGAAAAACGTATCATTCCGTCAGTCTGAGGTGGAATAAAAGGTTTTGAACATTTCTAAAGAGGCGAGTATTTTTTCTCATTGTG